GAGCGAAGTAAACGCTAGTCTGCCACAGCAGATGCTCTTCTCTTATCGGTTATCTTCTCCGACCCATTTGGTCTGCAGAGTGCTTGTAAGAGTTAATTTATCCAGTACTGTCGTTAAAGGAAATAGTTCACTTTTAACATGGGGTTTTGAACTGAAATAGCAGTCTTGTAGCTTGCGCTGAGACTAGCACAAATCATAAGCTTTTACAGCCCAATGATCACTCTAAGCAAAAATATCCAATTTGCCGTTCCAAAAAGAGTGTCTTAGGCAGGAATGTGGTGTCTTAGAAAGGAATGCAGTCACGTCATCGTCAGCCAATCAGCATGCTGCTTACAGCCAATGCAGCATGCATAGGTTTGAACTACGCAATGTGATTGGTCAACGCGTTATAAGCTTCCGCATCAAAACATCATTCTACATAGAATATAGTTCTTCCTATAATAAAATATAGAAAATAATTGTTTTACAGAAAGGTTTTATTTTATTTTCTGATCATTTTGAGGATAAGAAATCATAAATCCATAGCAAAATAGGTACTAATTTCAGGAAAATGAACTATTTCCTTTAAATATCTGTTTTAAAAACAGTAGCCTGCGGCAGAGACTACCTTGTAGCTATGTAGGTACACGAAGCTGAATCACGAATATTTAGGATGATTAAAGCATATTGCAATGTCGTATCTCAAAATAACACCGATGGGTGTTTTCATGATTTCAGATTTAATTGACTTCTAAATAATGTCAGTCTCCGATGCGATATTTTAAGCCATTGCCTGCCTCCATATTATGTTTGCGTATGGTTGAATTTCTATGGCTTCTGAAAAAAAAACATTGCACTCTTTTCTCATACATAAAACTATAAGCATAAATCGGTTGATGAATAACCGTCTAATGGCGCTGGCGCACACTTTTAGCAAAAGTTTCCATTCGCATGTACTGCCACACCCCTGGCACTATCAGATAAATCAGTGATATGATGCAGGCCCGTGCATCTGTGCTCTGTCATAAACGTCTGATAACGAGACCAAGGGCATGACAGACATCACTGGTTAGCCTTTTTCACTTGTTACTGGCCGGCATTGAAGCCACGTACCGCATGGTTTACTAACAATTATAAAATTGAATTCCAACATAAGATAACCAGTCGCCGTTTATCCATGACACACAGGGACACTTCACTAGCGTGGCTAATGGTCAGTTTCACCCAGACCTCACGTCTGCTTATGTGTCACTGCTGGAATCATAGCTAAAAAGTAAACGTGATCAATGATCATGCCACCCCTGCTATACGCGCTGAGCCTCGTCCAATAAGCACGCGCACACAATATAGCGCAAAATATGTGCACTGTGCAGGCATAGCGCACGCTTGCACAATATACATACTTACTGCGTTATGCCCATGCATGCTGCACGCCCTCATTTCCAACTTTCGCCTGCCATGAGGGCATTTATGAGTGAACGCACTTTAAACAAAACCCAGTACCTACAGTTTTTTTTTTTTTACATCCTATTAGGATGTCAAGTATGAAGTAGGTGCCAAAGATATAATACCTCCGGAGTTTCGGACCAATTCAGTTCCTCTGTATGTACAGTCCGATTTTCGTCTGGTCTCAGGTGCAGATGCTGCACTGCATCTCCCAGCACATCGGTGACGGCGGCGAGAGCATCTTCTCGGACAGTTTCCACGTGGCGGAGGTGATCCGCGCGCGCCGGCCGGACCTGTTCCACCTGCTGGCCACTGTGCCGTTCGAGTTCGCCGACATCGGAGAGGAGGCCGAGTCGCGCAGCCGCTGCCGCTTCCACAAAATCCACGAGCGCACCATGTTCTGGTGAGTAGCCCCGCAGTCCAAAAGATCCACGAGCGCACCAGCCGCGCCATGTTGTGGTAAGATAGTGCAGCCTGTTTTTTGTCCATATTTGTGTGTCCCCATAACCTGTTCCAGCTAGACGTTCGATAGGTAAGTCGCGTCCGCTGCTATACCTACTCATGTACTCAGCTGCTGTACTCAGTCATTCATGGCGGGGCGAGACCCATGGAGTGTTTTAGAGGGAGGTCGTGACTATCATGGATGCAAGTATGCGTACTATGGCGGCTGACCTTGCCCCCATAGCTTGGCGGCAACACCCCAGGGCCCAGACAATAGACATTCAACGATGGGACTGCCCCTGACCTAAGTAAACATTGAAATGCAATATTCATAGTTCACAGATGCCTCTACGCACCGCGACTCACTTTCACTGCGATTTATCTTGAGCATGCGTGCAGCAATAACTGGTTAAGTTAGGTTTAGGTACGCCATGCTTAATAATACCGAATTTATAGTTAATTAATGCATAACTCAGCCTGCGATGCTCAGACTAAATTATCGGGCATCCTCACTAGTCAATACAGCGTTATTTCTATTATTTATTTCGTACAACTGAGATTTCGATGCCTATATGTCATATGTGATCATTTTCTTACCGGATGATATTCCTTTCAAACATCAGACGATTACCAAAAACTTGGCATAAAGTCGAACTCAAAGATACCGGTCTCGCCTATGAACACCGAACGGCAAAAACTCGCTAGTTAACTTCAGGCACCCCGCGCTGTTAAAAACTTCAATCAATTCTCATGAAACATTGACGCAACAACACCTACCCCCATGTGAAATAACGAGCTGAGGTCTGTTTTCGCGTGCTATCACGCCCCTATTTGTCTATTTTCAGTATAGACGAGGACGGCAATATCACCCAGGTGGCGACCAACAACCCGGTCCGTTCGTACCGTCTGAACGTGCCACTGGAGCTGGTGAAGCCCATGTACGAGGGCCTGCGCATGTTCAACGACCTCTGCAGGCACCCCGACAACCAACTGACATTCAAAATGGACAACGGTAAGTCGTCTGCGGGTCGTATCTGTGAGAGCCGAGAGGAGTGATAAAAACCAGCGAAGAGAAACAGGCGCAATGCAGTGTTTGAACTCTTGCACGTCTCATGGAATTCTAAATAATCTGCCCTCGCGAACAGCACGCATTTATCAAGATTTAATCATCATGGCCATCGGCTTGCTGCTCAATGCTCATAGTTATCCTTCCACATAAAAGTGGCCTTGCCGCTTTTTCAACTCGCTGTCATCCAAATAAATGTCAAAAGTGTCGAGGAAAAGGTCATTTAAAATCCTAACTACACAGTACACATATCAAGATGTTCCTCGCTAGAGCACTGCATACTATTTCGTCATCCAAATAAATGTTACTGTGCCATGCTCACGACTCACAGTCTTCCCTTCCCCCAGGAGACGTAGCTGTGTTCAACAACCGTCGCGTGACTCATGGCCGGCTCGGCTTCACGGTCACCGAAGACTCGCAGCGCACTCTGGAGGGAGGTTACGTGGACTGGGACGACATCATGTGCCGCTACCGCATCGTCACCGACCTGCTCCGTGAGCGGCCGTGATTAACGATCGTGAGCGACCGGATCGCGAGCGGCTCCGTGAGTGGCTCCGTGAGCGGCCGTTAGTGACTGTGGGCGACTCCGTGACGAAGTCGTGAGCGGTGGTGAGTCGGATCGTGATCGACTCCGTGAGCCACAGTGATCGACTCCGTGAGCAGCCGTGAACGACTCTGTGGGCGAACGTGACGGTGGTGTTGATCGTGATGAGCTATGCTGGACACAGCTAGTGTCTTTCATTGAATGAGTGACCAGGTTAAAAACAGAAGGCAGATGACTTCGCTATGTGAATAGGTGGCTATAGAGTATAGAACTTTGACTGTTTGACGAAGGACGTCACTTCAGAATCCGCTTTTTTTAACGGTAAGTAATTACACCGAACTTTTATGCTTCTGGTGAACGTTTATCGAAAAAGGCTGAGAAGTTCTCAGCGCCCGCTTGTGGGGACAGTCTCAATATGATATAAACTACATGATGGTGTCCGCGATAGTTAGGCAGGACGTGGCAGGACTTATGAGTCTCAAATAAACAGTTGATCGCAGTTATATTCAGTTGGGTGGATGCCACCTTGTCGATATTTTTAGGGGTCTAACTTTCATGCATTTTACTGATTAAAAAAAGACAGATGACAATTTCTTTTAAAAACTCGTTTTAGATGTAAGCACACAGCCAGCCACATAGTTTTAGTTACGCTCGTAAAAGTGCAGCGTTACGGCTCAATTTAAGGTAAAGGTCAAGGCATGAATGCATCAATAGGGGTGCAACAATATGTAATTGTGATGTAATTAATGCCAAAAACTGCAACTTTTAATGGCGAAATGCGAAACCATCAGCTAATCTGTTTAAGGTGAAGGTCGGCTTCCGTTGGCGATTCGCGTCCCTTATGTAATCAATAATGCAAGACGTGTTTGCACGCGATCGAAGGACGTAAGAGAGTATGAACGATAAACGGGAAAACTACTTGCAGGAAAAGCCACATGTAAGCGGCACGGCCTTCGATGTTTTGTGAGGCTTTGCGTCTAGGCAACCGTACCTACTACAGTCGTACTACAGTCGTAGTCGACTACAGAATGATGTTCCACTTTTCACAGGCAATTATTTGCCTGGAGTGGTAGGCTGTGCAGCATCACACGGGCTGAGTTCACAAATTATAGCTTTGTCCCAATGCTCATAATCGACACGCTTAATTGCGTGATAAACGGCACAACTTAGCGCTCCAGTCAACTGATAGCTTCTGAGGAGTGGAACATCATTCTGTAGTCGACTACAGTGTACACCCATTCGTTGAAAAGACGTTTCCTTGTTTGAGCGTCCTTAATCCTTCCCTCACGTATCCAAATGGGACTACTGATGCATAAGAGCATGCGGATTTTGGAATCTAGCTACTATCTGCACATTAGCAATGGCGGACCCACTTCTTCCCGACTTCAGGATCGGCTGAACCGAAAGCTTGCATAGCGCACACTCCGCTAGGACCGGGTACGCTAGGACTTAGGTATATAGATACCTAAAGGGTTTTCACGTTTCGTAAGGGTCAATGTGGGGCGTATCTGTTGCACACGTGCCCATAAGACGCATTTTTATTTCAAGAACAGCCGAGCAACTGACCTCTTCATGTGGTGTACCATAGTGACAAGCTAGCAAGTGACTTGAACTTCAAAAGTCCTGCAAGTATAAATAAGCGGGTCTATCGCTTTCACGTATGCCAGCCCGTCGGCATGGCCATTCGCCATCTCGGCAATGGATTTGGGCTGTATGGTCTATCTGGCCTTTGTGTTAGGCATTGAATGTTGATTTATTAAACGGACCGCAAAACAATTTATCCTACTTCAAATGACGAACGAAAGCGTGACAGCTACTTCAAGATCTTCTTTTCACCCAAGTCTTCTGCTGAAAGTCATCCTCTTAGTTTCCCCGTTCTCTTCTGTTCGAACAGTCGCTCAGAGACCAATGGTAGTTGCTCCGATTAGAGACGCTCAACTGTCCCTTGGTCGGGTGGCGGCAGGGGTACAGCGGCGGCCGGTCCCAGGACCGCTGGGAAGTAGCACCTGTACCCGGCCAGCGCGGCCAGCGCCCCCAGCGCGTACCCGACCGTCACGTCCTCCCAGTGGTGGTGGCAGTCGGCCACTCTGCTGACCGCCACCAGCGCGGCGGCGGCCGGCGCCAGCGCCAGCAGCGCGCGGCTGGTCGCAGAGAGCGGCCGGCGGGCGCGCGCCGCCCAGAACAGAGAGGCGAACACCGCCAGGCAGCTGCAGAGCGCCGAGTGGCCGCTGGGGAAGCTGCGCCGGCCCTCCGCCACCACGGACGGCTCTCCGGAGCAGGGCCGGCCCAGCGGCGGCGGACGGACGGCGCCGTGACACCGCGAGAGGAAGTCGGGCCGCGGCCGGCCCACCGCCGCCTTCAGAACGTTGGTGGTCAGTCCGGCACTCAGCAGGGACAGAGAGGAGGCGAGCGCGGCCTGGCGCAGCTCCAGCCAGTCGCCGGTCTGCAGCAGGCGCGGCAGCAGGGTGGCGGGCGGCACCGCGTACACGACGGTCCACAGCGCGCGGCTCGATATGTAGCTGGGTGTCATTGGACGGCTGTACCGCCACGCCTCGGACGGGGAGATCTCACGGACAGTGGCATCCAGCCGCTCACTCTGGAGGAAGATGTAGTAGAGCACAGCTCGAATGAGGAACTGAGTGACGAAGTACCGCGATGTGATCAATGCGCACTTCCCGATGCATTGACGAAACTGAGTCATGTCGAGACCGGGGACCATTCACATCACCTGGTGTTGCAGCCTTGAAATTTTGCAACGAAATTTGATAACTATAGAATTTAATATTGCAACTTCAAAGATAAATCTTTACATAATTATGTCAAGGAAAGACGCACCATCAGCGCAAATCATTATCGATGTACTTGAAAATTTGAAACGTTTAGCTGTACTTCCGGTACTCGAGGCCTGCAATACCTACATTGTACTAAGTCTACAGGAATGTGCGACACTGTAAATTACACATGACCTGAGTCTAACGAATGGTCAGACCATTTCCGGCCGTGCCTGATGTCTAAGCCTTCGTTCAAGGCCTGCAAAAACATCATGTCACCGCCACTGTCATATCTGACAAATGCGTCCAGTGTGTCATAATGTGTGGACCATTTTAATGGTAAAATGCACTGAGCCTCGTGAGCTTTTCATGGGGATCTGCACCACCGAACCGGTCGGCAGGCGGTACCTATATTGGGAAAGATTCTTGGTAATATATGACATATTCTTCTAAAGCCACGAGGACAGCAGTCACCACCGTCTTAGAGAGGTTGCCTGTTATACAAAGTACTTATTATCGATAGCTTGCAAGCCATTCAGGGCAAGCAGCGATAAGTATGCAAGTGCAATGGTGCAGAATCCGATTTGGGGACATGATTGCATTGCATCTCTAATTGTTTTTCCAGTTAAACAAAAAAGTCGTTTCTGTCATAATTGCCTTGAAATAGAATTGTACCGACGGATACGGATGTCCAATGTGCATAAAGTTTTACACTTGGCATCCGCCTATCTCTTGTACTAACCTGTTTTTTTTTTTTAAATAATAACGCATCTTCCTAGTGGTTAAGCTTGCAGGAACATTTTTAGGATGACGTAAGATTTCAGGGTCAGACATTTGCCTGACAGTGACGACGCTTTGAGGAAATATTGCGTAACGAACTAAGCCAGGATCTGTCAATTACCTAAAAGCCAAAGTTAGCCCACGCGTCAATATTACAGTACGCACTAAGTGACAAAATTCTCAAGAGCTCCATAAAACCCAAGGATATCTCTCAGAACAATGAAATGGGAGCTGAAACGGCGCGGTAATCAATCACACTGAAACGTCTTACAGATGTTTCCTGGCAGGTCAACGGCGTTAAACCACGTTTTATGACGCTTTACAACAAGTACTAATTGGTGCCATTCAGGGCCATCATGTCACCCGCGGAGTTGCTTCCTAGGTTGCAATGATCACCATGAAATTTTACACAAAGCTTGCTCAAAAATTGTGGACGAGCTTTATTTTTTCAATGTCTCTAATGAGGTACATTCCCTCGAAACCAATATAAAAAGTATCATACCGGAATCAATCTTATCAGTTCCTGTGCCACCCAGAGCGTGGTAGGTATGTATAATAACACCTCACATCTTCACGTCCTTGCAGGATAACAGATGAGGTCGACCTTGCTGGCTGCGAGTGGCACGCACTGGGCCCGGTAAATCCTGCACCAGCCGACGCGTCACTCCCCACACTGATTAGGGAGGTCGTCACCAGACGATTATCACGTGCCGGGCCGGATCGCGCGGGTAAGACGACCTTACGTAACCGCAGCTACCGGCGCGCGGGGCCGCGCGTGACACGGAGTACGAGTGTGTCGCGTCCGGAGGTTCTGGAGGTCCGCTCTCAGCGCAGTGGGCTCACCCAGGGAGGTGAGGAGTCATCCTGCGTCAAACTGAGGACGGAAAATACCTGCGGGCGGCTGGGCTAACGAAACAGGATGCGAGCTGGTGCGCAATTTGTGACTTCAGCGATATATAGCGACGAGAAAATGTGTGAGCACGCTCCTAAGATCCACCATCCAGTCATTTGGTACAGTGGAAAGCAAAATAAACAATCTGACATGAATATGCACATCGCGTATGACATCTGATCGCTATTCAATGCCCGTTCACCGTACGATGCACTCGCCGGGCAACGTCATTATGTTGAACCTACATCGCTTCGTAGGTAAATTTGAAATGACTTGTATGCCACGAGGATACGCAATAAAGGCAGAGATGAGAGATATGATTATCAGCATAGACAAATGGCACAAAAGGCTATGTAGTATGGACGGAAAGACGGATACTGTTTGAACTTCTATTGGCATTCCATTGAATGTGCTTTACGTGCTAAGCACCTTTGATGATACCTAAGGATTTAAGTATAATGTCAATAGTCACGTGAATTAATGTGTGGATGATATAAGGTTTTTCCGAAATGCCTTGAGTCTGGAGAAAGATGGAGTGAACGTATGGCTTTATGCACACCGCGAAAAATGACTGTTGTTATGTCTGGTTTTATGACTTGTCGGGAGAACGAACGTGTCTCACGCCTCACGCCTGGGACGGGAGCGAGCCATTCGCTTTAACCAGTCGAACATCACCGGTTCATCCCAATTGTTTCAGTTTGGAGGGTAGTTTCTGGAACACCCACCCATCACTGACGCACTATCAATATTCAAAATATAGTCTTATCATTGATGTCAGCGTGAGCGGACACAGACCATCAGCCCATCCTTTCGTCACGTGACATCTGCTTTCATTCTTAATCACTCTTGCGTCTGTTTATTTGCCAGTGTCCACAACAAGTTCGTGTGTCAGTATCAGTTCCAGTGTCAGTGTCAGTTGGTGTTAGTGTCACGTGACCGACCGGGGTGCGCCGGTGGCGTGTCACTGGGTCAGTGGGTCGCCGCGCATGCGCCGTCCAGTCGAGCGGCCCAGACCTTGACCGGGGCGCAGACGCCGGGGACCTTCCGAATGTCAGACGGAGGATGATCACATGCCGACATCTGTGCAATGATCCTTTACCATGGGTGGTCATCCATCAACTTATTTCCTCTTATTAGCAAACAATACAGTTAAGTCGTTTGGGATTAGTGTGCCACAGTCATTTACCTGCATACCATAATGCCAAAATTGAATATTAAAATGATGAATGCGTATAATGACGTAGCCAAGCGCGCACGTAGGCGTACACTGTGCAGCGCAGATCGTCCCTTGACATTTCCATTCGGTCATCAATACTTATTACACTGGCGAAAAGGAGGAAGCCCGCCACAAAAGCTGATTTGTGGTGGGATGCTGTCAGCAGCCGAATATAACGAACATTTTTTAAGATAATTGAGGTATAGAGGCAGACAATTAGCTACCATTGCTGGCAACAAGCTACTATTTTTCATACCTTTGATCCGTCTTAAAAGAACCATAAGACATATAAGGCATTGACACACTTGCATACGAATGAGTACTTACATGATGGCAGGTTCTAAGCCCATCCAAAGAACGTTGTCCTGTTTCCAGGCTGAGCCCATTTAGCCTGAGCATATACTGACTTTACTGAGCCCATCCGACAAATGTGACAATGTGACATTGTCACTCAACTCATCGAGGGGGTGGGGGTGGCAATTTGGGACATGAAATATCCAATAGATCATCAATCCTTGCGTAGAGTGCGACCTTGGTATTTGTGAAGATAGAAGTGAGTGGAGCTTAACAAGGGCACTGTCCTAAACAATGCTGATGTTTTTTCATGCTGAAAGGTCTCATACAACAGTAGCGGCGGAACACCTTCAATTAAGGGGGGGGGGGAGCACTGCCGACTTTTGGTCCGATTCTTTCCATGCAACGCCCATAGGGCTAATGTTAAAATGCCAAAATCAAAGGGGCACGGTGCCCCGGTGCCTTCCCCGTTCCGCCGCCTATGCCACACAATAAGGTATTTTGAAGAAACCCTGAAATTAGCGTTTGCTTAGTTCACATCGTTCACATAATTGAAGAATACGGGATCGAGCTGACCACTTTTTATCTATAGAGAGATAATTGAGTTGTCTTACGAGTGGACATTAAAATTCTGCCAGCAGAGTGATATCTAAAGAAATCGAAAGATCAGAGCCAGATGCTGAGATGCTTCGAAACGGCGTCATTGAGATATAACGGCTGAACTATTGGCGAAAGAAAAATGAGAATGGGGATCAACCGTCAAGCTCAAAGCCAACACTGCTCAAGACTGAATTGCCTCCCTTTATCAGGCTCAAGTGACATAGCCCACCCCGTAAGTAAAAGGAGCCCCGGGTTTCTCCATGTGCTTTTGTCACCATTCTTGTGTGGGGACCGTTTCACCGACCTTGCGTCATTGCTGGTGTGTCGACTATTAGCATAATCCGCACAGGTCCGGTAGTCTTCACACGCCAGCTCCGGCCGCATGAAGCGCAATGTTCGGACAAGGATCTGGCTGTTCTGAAGACAGTTGGAATTCACTAACACCAATGCACGACCCAAGTCAATGCTCAGGACGCGACGAATACAGATTCAGCTCTGTACAGCGGGCGGCCTCTCGCCCGGTCGGCCCGCCCTGCGTCGTTGCATCCCGCGCCGCTCGCCGGGGGGACGGACGGGCTGGGACGCCACTGAGAGACGCCTATAAAACCGGCTGCCGCTGTCGGCGGCGGCAGAGCAGCGCCGTTTTTCGTGTTGGCGTCATGTGGGCAATCATTGGCTGTGCGGCCCTGGTGCTGCAACTGGTGTCGGGACAGCACGAGCACAGATTCTTCAAGTTCCCCGTCAAACCCGGTAAGGTGGAGCGGACCAGCGGACCGTGTTTGTTGTGTCTGCTGTTTGGTGATTCCCTCTTGCGAGCATTGTCCTTTTTTCTTTAAAATTTTCTTATCAGGCGCTAATGCTGAAGTCCCGAGCTCGATGTTACGTTTAGGAATGTAAATGTAATCAAAGTTTGTGGAAGTTATCGAGCAATTATATAGGTGCACGTTTTGAGGAAGCATTTGTGGATATTTTTTTAAAATAAATTTAGTCCGAATGGCTGAATGGGCGGATTTGAGGAATCAGAGCCCGCACTAAGCATAGCTTGTTGTGCTGACCCTGACCCCACCACCCGATCGCGCAATTCCAGTTGTATGGCAGAATTTTGTCCGAACGTTTAACGTGCCCTCACGACTGGACACGGTCCCCTCCACTCACTCACGTTACCTGGCTTCTGTGCGGCCCCTGCCACAGACACGCACGCCATTACACGTAGGAGCTAAATGTGGCCGCCCGCACCGGGGCTTGAACCGGGCTCTCACTTCCGGCTAAGCGTCAAATTCCGGCGCTTTTAACCACTCTGCCACGGAGAGGACAAATAATGATAATGATCACTTAAATATTTTTGCCTTTAATCTAAACGTCTTATACCTACTATCGGCCCATTTTATATAACTGTGATGCCGGATGCGGATGAATGTCTAGATACGTTAATAAGGTACGAGAAGGCGAGGAAAATTTGCCGTCGAAATAAAGTGGCCTCCTTTTTGACACATGCAAAACTGTTTCGGCCTGAAATATAATGTATATAAATGACACTTTGTGATAATACGAGGCCGATACGTTCGTATATGCTCGTATATGGCCGGTATGTTCGGCTTTAAGTCGTTTTGATTAGACGACCGAGCTGCTAAATCATTGGTTATCAGAGACCGAGGCACGTATGGACTACGTTAACACCACGTATGAATGATGCATTATTGCCGACATTGGACGCTTGCGCGATGTGTGTATAGGGTTCAGGCCTACACAGTACACACTCCTATTTTGAGGAGTTGGGCGCATGAATTGTTCGATACAATTATGCCCAGAAACGGCCCGCCCCGCTCGCAAAATTCATCCGGCCAATACCACTGCGACCACTGTCGCTGACCACAACCCATTCCCATCAGAAGCTATCAGCGAACACCAAAGCGACTTGAATTGGCGGTCTCTACCGGTCAGCTTTGGAAACGGACACTCACTAACTCACTGAAGTATCTTTCAATATGGCATCGCATTATCTCTGACAAAGCGACTGCATGTTTTTGTTTCAGGTCACAACGGTCAATGTCACGACCCTCGGGTAGACAAATATTATGACGTTGGCGAGGTCTGGGGTCCTAAGAATTCCAACTGCAAACAGAGCCGCTGTGTGGAAGAGAAGGGGGTGCTCTACATCGACAGAATGTCGTAAGTATTACTGAAACTGTGCTGGGTATACAGGATCAACGCCGATTTATCAAACGTCATCAATAAACATAGTTGATATCTCTGGGTTGATTAGATCAGGGATCCACACACCATGCGGCTGATACGTCCAATAATATAGGATTCTTTTGCTATTTTCGCACGAGCATGCTTCAATGACGCAGTTCCGTTCTATCTCGGCGTTTCCCCTTCGACAGGTGCGACCGCATCCTAGACAACGTCGACTTTGACAAGATGAAGCGGGAGCACCTGAGCTGCCGTCAAGCGATCGGCGATCGGCGGGAGCCGTTCCCCGGCTGCTGCCCCCAGCTGGTCTGCTACGAGTACATCAACGGCAAGAAGAAGAGGATCCCCAAGGAGCGGCTACCGCTGATCAAGCCCATCATACGCGATCATTTCGTCTACGCCAGGCAGTAGACCAACCAGCGCGCGGAACTTATGTGATTTGTGATGAATTGTGAGATATGTACATACTAGTGTTTCGTTTAATCGTGAGCAGCTTGGCAATAAACTCAGTGCCCGCTTCGTATAAGGGTTGATCCAAGGCCATCTATAGGGGTTGACCAGTAAGACTTAAAACGTGTTTGGCGAAGGCTGGTGAAGGGTGAATGCTGATCAAATGTAATTATATGTTCGACGACTTATAAAAACGACGATAAACGGCGACAAATGATGAAATGATCGTTTTGTACTACATAAAGTTCAAAACGTCAACTCACGTTCTGGGTGTTGTAAGTTGTAATGCATCGGGTACGTAGTAATATGACGAATGTTATAAACAAGCCTATGCATATGTATATAAAGGACGTATATCCACTGGAAGAAAGGGAACCATGCGTACAGACACAACTACCTGCGTGAGACAATAATGCTGAATGTTCTGGGAGGTTTGTAGGGTTTGTCTTCAATACAAGGAAATATGTAAAATATATCGTGTTGTGGCATATATTTATAATATAAGTCCTTTGATTTCGATCAAGATGTTTCATCCGAAATTCCGAAGTGAAAAATTAAAACTGTCTTCCTCATGAGCTCATATTCGAGACTCGCCAGTCGTCCGTCTCGTTGAGGGATGCCAGCTTATGAGCCAGCCGGATGGTGGACGCTGAATGTTAAGGTCACCTCTTTCCAGAACAGATTCACATTTAGCTTACGTAAAGCCACGAAATCTCTCTAATTGGATTATCCCTAGACAACGGGCCCATATCTCAAGGTCTCACAAATCAAGGACCACCCTCAATCACTGTAGAAGTCGTGACATCCTGTCTGAACGGATTGGAAGTGATCTCAGAGTTTGGAATCCAAGGTTTGGAAGGAACCGATCGGAAGTTCGGAGGGAGACGTTCTTTGGCAATGCTAAGATGCTGGTTCAGCATAATTTGGACTGTTACTATGCATTTGTCATAAACCTGGTTGCAAGGCCACCATTGTGTTTGAACGATGCATAATTTCGCGGGAAAACACGATGCTAATTGACAGCTATTGCAATTATAGCAAAGTTATTGCAATAACTATTAATTCGCATGATGTTTTCCCGCGAAATAACGCATCGTTAAAGGGACCCTCCCACCTTCAAAAAAGTTAATGAATTGGCATGAAAGTGATGTCGCTCGGTTCAGAAAGAGCAAAAACGAATGTGTACCAAATTTCATCGAAAAATATTCACCGGTTTTCAAGATATTAGACTTTTACTTTTTTTACTTTTTGGGATCTCCGCTGTTCCTAGCGACTTTATTTGAAAGTGCGGCATTTGTTGCGCGCAAAGCAGCATATACCACCGCGTGCTATACAAAACGTTTTAGTCAAACATTTAACGGACGTTCGAAAGCCTGATGACGTCATCAGATTCCCGTAATGGTTAAGAGATAGGGACCACGCTGGTCCCATCCTGCAAGTAAAGGGAGGAAATTTCTTGAACACCATAAAGCTGCGGGGGTTGCGACCAGGATCAATGGTGGTTTCTGAGCCTGGCCGCAAACTTGGCTATCCCAACTCAAAACTAATGTTAAGGTGGGAGGGTCCCTTTAAACACCATGATGACCTTGCAACCAGGACTATTTCAAAACGTTCCCTATTATAACGTGCCTTATTACCTCATTATAGTAGGTACTTTCAACTTTGTGTTGCGCTCCCTGTTTTACCATGTTAACTATTTCACTTGCTTCTCTTAGGCAACGACTAGGCTACCAAGATGCGCCAAAAAAGGCCAATGACAGCGTTATAATGGACATTGCGCCTGTGTAACTGCTCAGCTCGTTTGTACATCTATGTACAAGTATATCAGACTGTTGTCGAGTGCTCCCGCGAGGAACATCTTGTTAGGACATTGTAGAATATTTGTTAATGACGTTTCCTCTAATGAAGAAATGTTTAAAAGTCGAAAATGATGCATTCTAGTAAATAAATTTTCGCCCACAGGGCATCATCAGACACCTTAAATAAATATCTTATAATATTATTTCAGATTGTGGTTAATTTGGTGCAAATGCATTTGGTGAGCTTAAGCAAACCTATAAGTCATTGAACAAACACATTAGAAAAATGACATTTCTAACCAGCGACGGATATACCTATATAATGATTGAGATGGCTGGTTTATTTAAAGGAAATAGTTCACTTTTTAACATGGGTTTTGAACTGGAATAGCAGTTCCGTAGCCTGGGCTGAGACGAGCATAAATCAGGAGCTTTTACAGCCCAACGATCACCCTAGGCAAAGATATTCTATTTCTCGTCCCGAAAAAGATGTCTTGCGTTGAGGATGTGTGCCTTGCATATATTCCAATCCAGTATGAAAAGAGCATGGGTACCGAAAATTCTTCAGAAACTAGAGAAATTATCTACGAGAACTCTAGAGAAATTCTCGTACTGATCAATAAGGACATTCAGCAGCAGCAGATCGCCCAAATGCCGGTGGCCGCGATAATTTCTCTAGTTTCTGAAGAATTTTCGGAACCCATGCTCTTTTCATACTGGATCGCCTGTGCCTTACAGAAACTGAAAAGTTCTTCTTATATCAAAATATAGAAAATAATCTTTTGTTATAAATAGGTTTTATTTTCTTTGCTGATCATTTTGAACATAAAAAATCATAAATCCATTGCAAAAAAAATAATTTCGTGAAAGTGAACTATTTCCTTTAATTGACTTAAACGATCAATTACTTTTTTCTTTCAGTCGGATGGGCTAAAAAATCCACCATTTGCTCAAAATAGTTTTATTTTATTCGCAGGTTTGTGTGGTAGGCTAATACTAATACCTTTAATTAATTTCATTATATAACGCCGTAACCATTGCGTTATCAGCATGCTAAAGTGCATGCAGAATGCAGAAAAGTTGTTCTGTCTGAACAGCTGCTGGTTGTATATTGCCTCTGTTTGTTCATGGGCGTCGCACAGTCCGATCCTTATCGCCTCTCGGTAATCTCCTCTCCAGCTCCGCCTGCAGTTTGGCGGAGTCGTTAGGTATGTGGCGCTCATACGCCATCCAGGAAATCCGCGGATTGATGCCCCCGGGTCTGTGCCAAGACGACCGTTTGGGCTGACTACTGACCGTATCATGCATTCACGGTGAGTTTCGTTCTTCCAAGGAGCGTCTTTGTCCCTCGACGATACAGCGCCTTAGCTAGAGGATCAGATTTATATCGGAGATCGTGCACCCACACATTTGACGATGCTTTATTTTTTCATTATTTAATTACGAGCGAGCGAGCGCAGCGAGCGAAGTGAGTCTTTTCAATATAACGGAAAAATCTCAGTATGAGCGGCCCGTCCCGGCCCGGCCTGTAACGCTTTTGAGAGGCTTATAGCTCAGCAACCGCTGGACCGATTGGCCTGCGGTCTTTTTTGCTGGGTAGCCCCATCCCTTCTACCCCGTAATTGACTACTTTTGATACATCTCAGTGACCGTGGTGGCACGTGCCACGTGAAAAGTCAAGGGTGTTCAAGCTGTTTTGCAAAAGTAGTGATTTTGAGAGGCTCATATCTCAGCAACCGCTTGGGCGATTGACTTGCGGTAATTTTTGTAGGGTAGCAGCATCCCTTCTACCCAAAATAGGATACTCTCGATGTATGTGGGTCACCTCCAGTGCACGTGCAAAATACAACAATAAGAGGTGCCAAATTTGTTCCCATTTCAGTAACTCGGTAATTACTGGGGCGATTTCGCTGAAACTTGGCATACAGGTAGGCACCCACCAGGCAATGCATTCCCATGTGTTGCGGTTAGGGTGCTAATGCACGTGCGCACGTGCAGGGGGCGTTTCCAGATCTCGAGAACGGCTGGGCCGATTGCGCTCAAATTTGGTGCACGGTTGGGGACCAGTTAGAAGGGTGCCGTGCAAAAGTTATTTTGGACCCCGTTTGCACGTGCGCACGTGCAGAATGCCGCTTCCAGATCTCAGGAACGGCTGGGCCGATTGCGTTCAAATTTGGCACACCACTAGCGACCGGTTAGAAGGGTGCTTTGCACAAGCCCGTTGGAAGCACCCTCTCGCCCTTCCACACGTGCAGGGCTCACTATCTCGCTCGCTCGTTCTTCGCCCAAAAGGCGTTTTACTGGTATTACTATTTTGTTATTTTTATCAGCCTCTGCCCGAAATAAAGCCCGATAGCTTACATACTCTGTGTAAGCTAGCTCTCTCTATGCATGTAAGTAGTTGCGTTTCGAAACCAGACGCCCTGCCTATAGCGCCCATGAGCGGTGCTACCAAATAAGTTATGTAAGATATAAAATACATTGCCTGGTGGATGCCTAACTAAACGCCAAGTTTCAGCGAAATCACTGCAGTAATGGCCGCCGAGTTATTGTAACATGGGAACAAACTTGACACCTCTTCTTTTTGCATTCTGCACGTGCAATGGGGGGTGACAACATGCATCAAGAGTAGGCATCCGATGTTTGGTAGAAGGGACCATAGGTGTAGGAAGAGGGGGCTGGGGGGGGGCATGGCCCCCACTTTTCAACCGTTTTTTAAGTAAAATCTTTATTTTCGATTTAAATACAAAAGTAAGAACAGGAAATGGTTCAGCAAGGTGAGGTGAGCACAAAACTGCAAATAATTTCTTCATAGGTGTATTGGGGCTCTCACAAAGTGACATTGAAGTTTTGCTGCCATCCCCCCCCCCACACACACACACATACACTTTTCGTGAGGTTCCTACGCCCATGGAAGGGATGCAGGTACCCTACAAAAATTACGGCAAATCAATCGCCCCAGTTAAGATATGAACCGTTCAAAACCGCTACTTTTGCAAAACAGCTTGAACACCCTTGACTTTCCAGTTTCCACGTGCCAAGACGGTCACCTAGATGCATCAAGACTATAAGTCAATTACGGGGTAGAAGGAATGGGGCTTCTCAACAAAAAAGATTGCAGGCCAATCGGCCTAGCGGCTGCTGAGATATAGGTCTTTCAAAGGCGTTTCAGGCCGGGCCGGGTCGGGCCGGGCCTATCATACTGAGATTTTCCCGCTATATTGAAAAGACTCGCTTCGCGCTTCGCGCTCGCTTGTAATGATATTGCCGTCAAATAAAAACGTTCACA